GCTCCATCTAGACCAGCTTCCAAGCCATCTCAAGTTCCATTCAAAAATCTATACCGTTCTCCTTTTCAACCTGCAAAAAAAGGACAAGACCGCCTCCCCGTGTCGTTTTGTCGTCAGTGTCGTCGTGTCGAAAAGTGCTTAAAATGATGACATTTAGATAAGTGGACCGCCGGTCTTTTCTCTTTCATCTCTCCCTCTCTCTCTCTTCTAAAACTTTTTGGGTGTTTTTTAAGGCAATTCAAGGCGGAGAATTAATGAGAAAAACGGGAGGAGTAGAAACAAAGGATACTGGCCACCCATAGCAGGAGGAAGGAGAAGAAGAAGTTTCGATAGGAGGGGAGGTGGAACGGATGGATTGGGTAGAGGGGGTAGTTCTGCTTCTAAGGAGATTTGATTCGTGTCGGGTCAAATTGCGATTGATTGAACGGCCTGTTTATTGAGTGAAAAGTACGGTGGACTTGGTTTAGCCTATATCGGATACTGTATTTATCTGGGGTCCTACTTGTTCTGGACCATTACTGTAGTCATGGGTCGCTAGATGTTAGTTCTTACTGCTCTGTAACTTGATCCGAAGATAATTTTTGAGGTCTGGAAGCTTCTCTAGCTGGTTTTTTTCTGTAGTAAGCTTGCCAATTCATCTTCCTGACTTCAGTTTCATGGGGATTCTTACTGTTGTTCCAGGTTTTTGTTCAAGACAACAAAAAAAATCTAGTTCTTGAAAATCAAGAAGATCCTGATAGCTGCCTATATCTTGCTCGAGATTCGTCACTTTCTAGATTTGAAATGTAATTTTTCTGGAATCTGGATCCCCAGAAAATCCTAATTATTCCAGTCACAAAATTATCCTCATCACAGGTATTAGCCTCATATAGCAGATGAATACGCGCCCTATTGATGACGCCGTTGAAAAAAACCATACTTGCAAATTTGAGGGCCGGGCTGAGGACAAAACGGGCCGACGGTTCTCCGGCCCGGCCCGTTTTCCAACTGACAATGGATTTTTCAATTTTTTTTTGGATAAAAATGTATAAGTCAGATTGATGCAGAATTCAAAGCACTTAGTGCGATGAACACTGAACAAACTGGTACTAAAAACACACAAAACCCACGAACTACACCAAGAAATTCACTAGAAACCAAGAGCGGTAACTAGCGACACGACAAGATAACGAACGAGAGACTACGCAAATGAAAGAGACGCAGCGACGCGCACGTTCGAAATGCTACTTTTGCTTATAAAAAGAACACAAAAACACTACTCAATTTGAGTACAAAAACCTATTTATTTTCCACACTGATTATCCAATCAGGCGAAACAATAAAGAAAAAGACTAGAAAAACCGATGAGAGTCACACCCAACGGCTGATACAGAACAATTGGGTAAAAACCCGGGAAAAGAAGTGGCTTAAAACACAAAAAACCTAGTAAAAAACTCAAGTCAAGAGGTAAACGAAATGGTCCGAACGCCTTTCGGCGCCGGCACCACACAAAACTCTAGTTAGAAAACTGTCTAGAAAAACGTTCCAGCATGCACGCGCTTTGCGCCCGCACGAGAATCACGCCAATACGCCGTAGCGACGCATTGTTGGTGCAAAAGGAATACGGAAGCGAGAAATCTCGTAAGGCTTCGGAAATGAGTAGAAATGACAGAAAATACACCAGGAATAGAATATTCCTGACATATATAATTAGGGAAATTTTTCGAAAGGTTTTCAGAACATTATGAGTAAGCAAGATACGGTGGAAATTCCAAAAAAAAACATGTTTTTTTTCGGTCTCCCACCCTTAACACCGAAAAAAAAATTCTGTTGCTGAAACCCGGGCCGGGCCGAGAATTTTGGAACTTCGGCAGGGCCCGGCCCGGCCCGGCCCGTTGCAAGTATGAAAAAAACTCGATTAACAAGCGCTCCCAGCCGAAATGGTCTAGCTCTATAGAGCGCGTTGCCATCTGCTATATTTTTCTAATAAATATTTTTTTTCCCGGAATCCAAACTCCCTAAAATTCCTAATTTTTCCCTTCCTTATGTGTCCATTGTCCCAAGTTTATGGACAGAATCATTGGGGAATTTTTACCTGAATCTCCGTTTTAGACTGAAACCTTTCTTGTGCTCCTAAAAATCCTTTGGGAAGTTATCAGATTTTCTCTTTTTTTCTCTAATTCTCATTGACTTCTATGCTATTTTCGCACCTCTCTTTTTTATAAATGCTCATATTTCGACCCCTTTGATATTGCTCCGTTCTTCGAGTTTCAGTTTTTTTCACCTTCTCCTATCCCCTCTTTTTTACCTACTAGTCATGTCCATAATTATAATTATCACTAGAAACCCTCCACCAATTTTCAAAAACTCTCTTTCTCCTCCTCTCCATCTCCCAAAACACCAGCGCTTCTCTCTCTTTCTCCTTCAAACCAATCGCCGCCCGGACTCCTCCCTCCTCGGAGGCCCCGCCCCCATTTCCGACGATCGTCAAGGGAGCGCGGATCGCGTTGGAAGGCGATAGGGGAGAGTGCCGCCCCCCGCGTAGCCCATACCACATTTCATGTCTGAGTACCTATTTTCGGAAGACTCATTCCATTTTCCTCCCCCCTCCCCATTTCAAATTTTTGATTGTATTGTCTTTTTCCGAAGCGTGTTATATGGCTCCTTTAATATTCTTGTTTATGTGTTTTCGTTGACTTTCAACTACTAGTAATGCCACCTTTAATCAATTCATGTCTAACAACAACTACTACTAGACGACCCACTTGACGATTATGGGAAATGACCTGGACCCGATGCGGGGCCCACGGAGGGGAGGAGAAGAGGAGCTTAATGGGCCCATCACACCGTTTTCAAGGTTTTTTATTTTTATAGGATGATGATGATGATGGGAATGAGGATGGGGTGGAAGAGGTGCTAATTATTTCATGTTCGCAACATTTTAGGGAAGGAAGCTAGGGGAATTTTAGAGTGTAGGGTATCAATGGCTAGGTTATCAAAAGCTGATTTTGCGCATAGAAGATAATTCATGAAATTTTGAGTCGTAGAATTTGAATTCTTGCCTGAAATTTTCTAGATAAAGCTTTGGATCGGAATCGATCGGGAGCTGATTTTCAGCAATTTTGACTATATATGCTGAGATCTAGAAACTTCGAATTCTTATTTTTACCTGAAATTATTCCATGTAACTAATATCATAGGATCAATGAGAATGTCATGTAATTTCTAGAAGGATGAAGCTCTCATTTGTAGTGAATGAGGGTTTTAGGATTAAGCATTCGTACAAAATTTCAAAAAATGTATATAGTTTATGTATAAGGTCAGGAGGGATTTCAATGGACTACCGTAGTCAGTTTAGTATTTTGCAATGCATTCTTCATAAGACTGATCGCAGCTTAGACACTTCCTTCAGCTAATGGAGTTTCTAAAAGCGGCTTATCACAGTAATCAGAATTTAGTAACCTAATTTTTCCTAATGTCCATCTAGCAGCTCTTAGACTGCCAGTTATTACCCTATGAAACAAAGACACGCAACCAAAATTACATCAAAATTAGTCAAGAAGGTAAAAAAAATAGCTATACTAGTTTTGATTACTTTATTTGGTCTGCGGCATCTAAAATTGGCTCTTAGACACGCAGAGAAAAAAAATTGATTGGATTTCAACAAGTAGGGTAAAGGTGTAGGTCAGAATAACTCCGAGAAAACTAGAAAAGATGTATAATGAGCACCTCTGTAAGCCTGAGAGAAGCATACTTGGAACGGGCCGGGCCGGGACGTTTGAGAAATTTCATCAACCTGGTCTGGCCCGGCCGGTCGGCTTGTGTTTTCGAAGATGATTTTTCAATAGGCGACTTTTTAGGGATTCCCAATTCGTGTCGGCATATTTCCCATTGACCCGGCCTGGGACAGTTCTAGAAAAAATTGCAAAACTTCCTTAATATCTTAGGATGGTCTTCAGATGATCAGCTGACTTCAGCCACTTTTTAATGCATTCTAAGGGTGTCTAGTGAGAGCTTCCCCCAACATATTGACGTCAGATATCCATAGTACGGTATTCTGGAAGTTCCTCTTTCTGTCTAGTCCATCATAAGTGATATATAATTAAGACCGTTCTGCGCCCTCACGGTAATTTTTTTGTACGTGTTTTCGAAGGTTTCATTCGCGGGCTCTGTCTTACTGTAGGGTCGCATGACAACTGCGTGGCGACTCAGCGATACGTAGGCATTCGCCTCATTTTGTTGAAAAAATTAAGAATCAGGGCCTAATCCTGTATTTATGACGTTACTAACAAGGTTATGTTCTAAGGTTCCGGGGTAATTCAAAAAAGTCTTTGAGTTCATTCTTACCCTCTAACAAAAAAAATAAAAAAAGAAGTTGTACAGCTCATTATCCCCCACTCTCCAATTTCAAAAAGTGCTAGATCCAAAAGTGTTAATGACTATACTACAAGGACAAAGCTAGACTAAAAAGACCAACCAAAATAAACTGAGATTTCCACAAAGGAAAAAAAAAGAAAAAAGAGAGCTCCATTTTGACGAAGAGCTCATCTCCCAGTGAGCGTATCCACGCCCCTTCCTCTCATTTGGTGCATGTCAACCCGAATGTCACTCAGAATTAGCGTTTGCTTCTCCTTTTTTGTCTCATTTTGGTGCTGCCTAATTGATTTTATTGGATTTTTTAGTGGGTGGTTGCCGCGGGCAACCACGCTCTATTGAGAAATTATTTAGACGGGGATCGGGGGGAATTTGAAATTATTTAGGAAAGTCCGATTGCGCTCTATTGATATTTTCTCACGACGAGAATTCCTGATAGTACAGTATCTCACAGAGAATGGGTTTTTTGGAAAAGTAAATATTTGAATTTTTTGAATACGATGAGCAAAGTTTCTCACACTGAATTCCCCCGTCATCGCTTGACGCTTTAAACCGTATAGACTACAAAAGATACAAATGCAAAAAATTAGGACGAAAATACAAAATTTGAACCTAAAAACTCATTTTCTAAAACAAAAAAAAGAAAATTCCCCTGCCGGGTATCGAACCCGCGACCTTCTGACCACTAGCGCAAAACGCTACCAGTTACACCACATGTGCATCGCCACTTATCTGTGCAAGAGGCATACAGAAAAGTGCACCTTTCACTCTCTGTATGGCTGCCTGACATCCCTACCTACCCTAGTGGGCTTTCTTTCAAAAAATGAAAAAAAAATCAACTTCCCCGACAAATAAGATTGAATAACAACAATACCAAACCAAATTGCCAATTTGTCACCTCCTCCATCATAAAATGACCTCCTTCCGGCTATCCAGTCACTTTGGCGCCATGCTTAATTCTGCGTCTCCTCAATTCTAACGCTCTTTTCCATCTCAACCCAAAATTTACACACATATCCCCTTTAGCTCCGCCAGATTTCCATAACCCCCATTATTTTTATAATTTGTGAGTCGTCAGCTTTTCCCTTGCTTTTCTTTTCTTCTTTCAACAAAGCTTTCTCTTCTTCTAGGTCTCCCTCATCCTCCTCGAACCAATCCGTGAAGAAATAGGCGCCGCCCACATTCTGGAGAGAGAGGATTACGGTAGCCAAGAATATGAACACATCGACGAGTGCATTCGAGTTCGGCTCGTCGACGGCGTCGTCGGCGGCCACGTCGACCACATCATCACAGCCAGATGCCAATGATCATCTATCGGTGAGTTTGGATGTCCAGAGGGGTTGTGTCCAGAAGTCCGGATGTCGAGAATTCGTTCTGACTAATTGGGATACTAAGGGTGGATCCTAGCATCTAGGAGAAGCCCGAAACACGAGAAATTTCTGAAAATGTCTAGGAAAAAATGTTTCGATCGATCGATTTTTGGCAATTCCTCCATTCTTTTCCAGGCATTCTAGATCCCCAAATCACTCCCAGAACTATCTTTTCACATCTAATTCCTCTTTATTTCCAGAGACTCGCCGCCATGACACAAGGCGTGGGAAAGGAGGATCCAGAAACGTCATCAACACCATCTGCGGAGCCCGGTGGCCTTTATCCAGGAAGTGAGTAATTCTATCCCCACCCTGGTCTTCAATCATAAAATAATTCCACTTTTTTTCAGTTTCTGCGGCCTATATGCAAGGATACGGTTGGCCAGGATACCAGGGATACTTTGGACCACAGTTCTCAACGGCAGCCGGTTTACCTGGTTGGCCACAGTGTTATCCGAACGCGACACAGTGGCCCAACTATGGTGAGTTGTTCGGTTAGTTTTTCTTTCTTTCTTTGGTTTGGGGGAGGGGAGAAATTTGGAAATCCGGGAGTAGCATTGAACCAGTCGGTGGCGCCGCCTACGGCGGCTAACCTCCTTTTTGTTCGTCGCTGCGCTCCTCAATGGGGGGGGGGGGGTTAATTTGCCACGCTGAAACTTCTAATCTTTGGCAGTAACGCACCTAAGCCTTCTTCTGAAAATCCGGAAATTTCCAAAATTGAATTCTTGAATTTCCGACAAATTTTTTGAAAATTCGAATTCCCGCCAAAAATTTCGAAATTTTGAATACCCGCCAAAAATTTTGAAAATTTGAAATCCAGCCGAATTTTTTGAAAATTCGAATTCCCGCAAAAATTTTTGAAAATTTGAATTTCCGCCATGATAATCAAATGTTTTGACTTTCTCGAAGTTTCTAGAAGTTTCTGGAAAGTTATCTATCTAGTCCTTGTCCGTGGAGTTTTGGAGTACCGTAACTACCGTAATCCTACAGTAATCTCCACCATTTTTTGAAGGTGTACTATTGGGGTCCCTTAGATAGTACATGCAAAAAATGGAACAATTCTCGGCACTCTGAACCCATTTTTAGATTCGATTCGGAGCTCGGATTACTGTAGCTACCGTAATCCTACAGTAACCCAAGCTCCAAACGGTATAGAATTGAAGCGCTCGGTGACCCATGTCTACATGCCAAATATGATAGAAAACGGTCGAGGAGCACAAAAGTTATTCAGTGATAAGCGCTGGACACACACACAGACAGACAGAGCTTGCCGCTTAGTATATAGAAGAGATAAAGGGAAGGAGGGAGGAGAGACGCAGAAGGCGAAGGCCTAGTATAGGTGCTTGTAGAAGGCATATCTCGCTTGGTAGCAAAGATAGAAAAAAGATGTCAACTGGAAACTTATTGAGTATTTTATGCTGATTAAGTTTGTAGTTGAAAGTTTTTGCCTAGTTGGTTTGGTTCCAGAGATACAGATGCTCAAAGTTAGACTGACTCTGAGGAGCAAGCACCTTGGGATTCTATGAGAACTTCACCACGTCAGCGCCTTTGAAGGGATTTTTTATAAAATAAATTTTCGTCTTTGAATCTTAGAGGACAATTTTCTTCTACCTGCTTGCTTCCTAACAAAATACTGCTTTCGCTAGGCTCATAGGTTGCTCTGGAGGCAATCCGGGAGCTCTTATAGATTTTTCAGCTCAGGCTCCGCCCCCAAATGCGCAGGGCGACTCTAACTTGATTCAGGAGAAGGGGCAGAATCCTTTGAAAATCGTTACGTTTTTTATTGAATTGTAAAATTTCTGAAATTATATTTTAGTTGAAAGTTTCTTAACTACCTGTTTTGATCTCTCAAGATATGAAGGTAACAAAAAAAATTGTTTTCCACTACGCTAGATTTATTAGACGACAGTTTTGAAGCGCTTCTAGACATTTTGGCTCGAAAATTCTACAAAAATATCGTCCCCTCAATAAATCATTATTTTTTCCAGCTTCCTCCAAGAAAGGCCGTCAAACATATCAACGCTATCAAACCTCCGTTCTCGAAGCGAAATTCCAACAGTCCTCCTATGTCTCCAAGAAGCAGCGAGAAGAACTCCGCCTCCAAACCCAACTCACAGATCGCCAAATCAAAATTTGGTTTCAAAATCGTCGAATGAAAGCCAAAAAAGAGAAGCAACGAGTGGACGATCACACGGAACACACGCCACTTCTGCCGGCGAATCCACCGAAGGGAATGGGAATGGATGTGGATGATGATAAGAAGTGGCAAATGGCACATTGGCCACAAGTCGGACAAAATCCATATCATTATCCGATTAATCCGATTTGTCCACCATAAATTTAGGATTTTCCTGGGTTTTTTGAAAATTTTTATTCCAGAAGCTTCCAAAATTTTCAAAAAACTTTTCCTCAATAGCTTCTCCCATCCCTCCTCCTAGTGTCTTCTATCATAACTGTTTATGAGCTGATTCTGATTCTGACCTTCCTTCCTGGCTCCGCCCCTTTTCTACTATCATTTGGGTCCCAAACAAACACCTTCTTACCCGATACGGGTCCATACACTGTTCATCCCCTTTTTATCGATTTTTTTCCATTATTTTTTGCCCTTCAATCTGTCCTGTGAGACTCCACGGTTCCTTTTTTTTCTTTTCATCGATTATTTTTTTCTATAATTCTCTTCTAGATTTTTCTCCTTTCTTTGTGTGTGGTTTCTAGTCTCCTTTGTCCCCTTTTCCTCCATTTTTCCCATCATTTTTTTTGTCTTGTATGATTTTTTTTGAATTGAATGACTTGAATGAAATTTGAAAATTTTGAAGATTTCAGAGTTTTTTCCGGGTTTGTCCGGGGGTTTTAGGGGGTTTTCTGTGGTTTTTTCTGAAGTTTTTCCAGGGCTTCTCGAGGTTGCTCGCGATTTTTCCGGGTTTTATCTCGCGGGTTTTCCGGGGTTGTTTCGGGCTTTTTCAGGGGGTTTTCTGGGTATTTCCTGAGGGTTTTCCAGGGTTTGTCCTAGGGTTTTCCGGAGTTTTTCTGGAGTTTTCCTGAGGTTTTTTTCCGGGATTTTTGGGGGTTTTCTGGTAGTTTTACCGGGGGTTTACCGGGGTTTTTTCCAAATTTTTTTCGGGGTTTTACAGGGTTTTTTCCGGGGTTTTCCTGAGGTTTCTCCAGGGTTTCTCCAGGGTTTCTCCAGTGTTTCTGCAGTGTTTTCACGGCGTTTCGTGATTGGCATCAAAAATAGTATACGTTACCAATTATCAGACCTTAACTTCAAAATTATTGGCCAATGTTTTCTGAAGGGAGATACGTTTGGAGTACGTTAGAGAATTTTCTGGAAAATTCGAGGGTCAACACTATCGAGCGAGCTGAAAAAAAAGCAAAAATTCGCCTAGCTTTTTCACAGCGGGTCCCAAGGACCATTCTCACTAGCTACCAGTCAGGCATGAAAATGGGCTTTCAGTAAGTGAATGATACCACTGGGAACAAACCATTCACGGTTATGTAACTTGTAACTGCTATGGCGACCTCTAGGGGATCCGAAAGGTCAAATTTTGTAGGATTCAATAGAAAAAATCAAAAGAAAAGTCGATTGTCATGTCTGGCGGGTCCCTAGTCAGTACTAATTTAACAAGAGATGTTTACACGTCAAATCCATCTTCAGACAGTTCTCAAACGGATTTCAAAATGACCTCCCTTATGAGTTGTATCAGAAACTCTCTCGGTGCTTTTGACCTATTTCAAGAGCCAGAAACAGTCGAAATTGCTACGTCGAATCAATAATTTTTTTTCACAATTGTGGAAGTCAAGAATAAAAAGTAGGTCAAAAAATTTTTGATAGCTAGCTACCGTAACCCCTCTACCGTACACCTTGTTATCCCCTCTCTGCAGAAACCTGAAAACCTGATCTCTCTTTTTTTTCTCACAAATCCGAATTCCGACTTCGGCAAAGATCAAAGAAGATATGTTCAGAAGGAAAGGAGGAGAAGTCATGTGTCGAATGGGAAAAAAGGTTCTGGGTAATGGGATTTTTTGGATCTCAGGATTCTGGAGGGTACGGTAGGTAGGAAGTGATCCTGAGGCTCTGGATTACTGTAGGTACAGTAGGCTCTAATCCCCGGAACACGGAAAAAAAACAACGGAAAGTAATGAATATACTTGTTGTCGTCTTCCACCGGAAGTGGAGAACTTGTAGAAAATGGGAAGTAGGGAAAGAGGTGGAGGGTGGTTAGAGGAATAGAAAAAAGCGGGTCTCGAAAGGAAATATTAAAAAATCAATACTACAGTAACCCTACAGTAACCCCTGCAAAACAAACCATCACTTCCTAAAATCAACAGAATAAATCTTCCTCCTGGAAA